GAGAGAGAGAGAGAGAATTTCTACTTCAAGATCTTTGTATTATATTATATATTATATAGTGGATCTCATTTATAAAATATCTTAGGTCTTCTGCCAACAAAATAAAGACAATGATGATGGGGAAGGTATTTATTCAAAGGCTATTTTCCTGAAATAGCAATAAATTCAAATGGAAAAAAAAATTGCCAAGGGTATTGAATTCTTGTAACTCTATGTTGCCCCAGCATTGGTCTGTGCCTTCCACTTAAAGAAGACCACACTAGGTTTATCCTGGGATGCCAAGATCACAAAGCTGGTGTCAGCAAATGAGCAGGTAAACATAAACTATACATGAGCCAAAAGTTCAAACAAGCTTTTGTGTGAGGGTCTCTTGACTGTGAGTCAAACAAGCAGGCATTAGGCTATCTATGTACCAGGTGAAAAAAATATTATGTGGCAGCAATACTCAGCTTCCCTTCATGCCCGCTTGGGAGTGTTCCTGGATGCTCTGGTGATAGAACCATGGTTCACCTGAGAAGCTCTTCAAAACACCAAGATGCTACAAACTCTCCAAACAACACAAACCAAAGTAAGATCTATATTTGTAGTATTTTCTGTCTCAGATTTCTTACTTACACACAAATTGTTAAACACAACCTATAGTAAACAGACAAGACGATTGTCATATCAAAGACAGCTTAAAACAGGAGACAACTTAGGAGGGGATTTATATAACCTTTATACAAAATACTTAAAATTATGCATGACACTTTATAAAACATCTGAAAATAGAAAATAAATGCACTAATTTAATCACTTGGCCAGATAACAGAAATCATTAATGGATTTGTTCTTAAGGATTAACCTAAGTAATTTTAAATACAGTAGAATAATTATAAAAACTTAGATAACCGATGTTGACAAGGATGTGAGCAACTGGAACCCTTACATGCCATTCACGAAAATGGTGCACTTTTGGGGAAAACAGTCTAGCAGCTCCTCAAGAAGTTAAATAGAGTCGCTATTTACACTGGCAATTTGTTCCCAGGAATATACCTAAGAAATAAAGACTAAGTTGACATGAAACACCACATCTGACTGTTCACAGCATTAAAGTTTACACTTCACAGATTAAAAGTGGGAACAACTCCAATGGCCACTGTCCTAGTTTCACTTCAGTTGCTATGATAACATACCCTAACAAAAAGCAAAGGGGGGTCTATTTCACTTTACAGTTACAGCCATCATTGTGAAGAAGTCAAGGCTGGAATGACTAACAGCTAGTCCCACCACATCCACAGTCAAAAGCAGAGAGCAATGGACTCGTGCTTTTGCTTGCTTGTTTCAATTTCTCCACTTTTACAACAGTCCAGGAACCCCTGCTGCTAAAGAATGGTGCTACACACATAGGGCTTGGTCTTCCCACATGGATTAATTTAAGACAATCCCCAAACAGACATGCCCACCAGCCAATCTGATGCAAATAACGCATTGTTGGGACTATCCTTCTAGGAGATTATAGTTATCAAGTTGACAAGTAAAGCTGACCACCACAATCATCAACTAATGAACGGATGAACAAAATGTGATACAGATATCCTATGAACTACTTGGCCATAAAGAAAAGGAAGTGCTATTATCTGCTACAACATACTTTTTTTCTTAAGATTTTATTTATTTATTTATTTATTTATTTATTTATTTATTTATTTATTTATTATGTGTACAACATTCTGTTCCATGTATATCTGCACACCAGAAGAGGGCTCCAGATCTCATAACAGATGGTTGTGAGCCGCCATGTGGTTGCTGGGAATTGAACTCAGGACCTCTGGAAGAGCAGTCGGTGCTCTTAACCTCTGAGCCATCTCTCCAGGCCTGTTACAACATACTTTAACCAGAGAACATTATACTATATGAAGGAAGTCAGTCATCAAAATCCACATATTATATGAATCCACTTACAAGAAATGTCCAGAATAACACAAACAGTAGTTGTTTAGGGGCAGAGAGGAAGGTAAGCATGCGAAGGAACACCTAAAAGATTCAAAGTTTCTTCTTGAGGTTAAAACAAAAAGATCTAAAATGGATTGTGGTTATGGTTGTACAATACTAAAAACACTCAAAGTGTTGACTATGCACTTTAAATGGGGAAACTATACAGTACATGCACTATATCTCAAGATGTCACCAAAAAGAAAGAAACAATGCAAATGTAACACATAATGTGAGGATCTGGCCTGAAAAGCTTTTGACAATATGTTGGAAACACCATATTTCAGGGAACCATAGGTCTGGACTTGTTTTCCCTTTGAGTAGATAGATACTACCTTTGAAACAGGAAACAAAGGTAGAAATAACCAACATTATTTTGAAAGCATTCTTTCTTGTGGATTAGGTGAGGTGGGGCTAGTTTTGTTCCTTAAAAATATACTTCTATAAATGACCTAAAGGTGAGCAAGCACTGGAAACTGTTCCAAGTTGACAACTCACTAAGAACCTTTCTGGCATCACAGCCTTAGCTGGTAGGAACACACCGTTAGGCTTGTTCACTGGTACTTCAATGTTGGCTCTGTGCTGTGTACTAAGTAACGCAGGGTGGCTATAAAACAAGCTCTTGCATGACAGGACCCAGAGCACAGACACTCCTAAATGACCTAAAGACAACTTGTACATGTGAATGTACACATGTGTGAGGCTAGGGCAAGGGGAACAGTTATAGAAACCCAGATTTCTCTACTGCTGGGAAGCTGGCACTTGCCACTTCTGACCATGGCTGGAAATCTAAAAAGGCAGATGCTCCTTAAACTGTGACGTTGAACTTGAATGAGAAAGAAAAATGCTCTGTTCTTTGAGGTCCTGCTTCTCCTTCCACTGAAGGCCCAGGGCCTGCTAAGGACAGAAATGAGTTCAGAGCTTCTTCATTAGGATTTGAGATAGGAGAATGAGAATAGCCAGTTCTCACAGCTGTTGTAACTGCAGAGCAGGACATTCCTGGGCCGGGCCGGGTATAAAATGACAAGACCGGCTACAAAAATTGGCAGAGCCCAGTGCAAACACATGTGGCTTTGTTTGTGAATGAACTTGTGAGGGGTGACAGCAGAGCATTACACTGTACACAGGCTCTTGCGAGTATGGAGATCTCCAGAACTGCACAGATGCCAGGCCTGCCTGACCAGCCTGACTTCTGAACAACAGGAGTTGATGTAGAAAATTTTCAAAGATACAGGAATGAATAAAGAAAAAAAAAACTCTTATATTTTTGGTTGTGAGCCTAGCCTTTAACGACTGAGGCATCTCTCCAGCCCAGGGAGCATGGGGGAGGAGAGAGGGAGCTAGGAGAATGAGAAGGGGAGAAGAGAAGGGTTTGAGGAGGACATAAGGGAGCAGGAAGGTTGTATACGGGGAATAGAGGAGAGCAAAAGAAGAGATACCATCAAAGAGGGAGCCAGTATAGGTTTAAAGAGAAATCAGGCACTAGGGAAATGTCCAGAGATCTACAAGGATGACACCAACTAACCAACTAACCATCTAAGCAACAATGGAGAGGCTACCTTAAATGCCCTCCCCTGATAACGGGATTGACGACTAACTTAAATATCATCCTAGAGCCTTCATCCTGCAGCTGATGGAAGTAGAAGCAGATACCCACAGCTAAAAACTGAACTGAACTGGAATCCAGTTGCAGAGAAGAAGGACTGATGAGCAAAGGGGTCAAGACCACGCTGTGAAACCTAAAACAGCTGACCTGAACAAGAAGGAGCTCTTGGCCTGCAGACTGATCACTGGGAAACCAGCATGGAACTGATCCAGACCCCTTAAATTTGGGTGTCAGTGAGGAGGCCTTGTAAATATATGGGGCCTCTTGTAGTAGACGCTGTGAAACCTAAAACAGCTGACCTGAACAAGAAGGAGCTCTTGGCCTGCAGACTGATCACTGGGAAACCAGCATGGAACTGATCCAGACCCCTTAAATTTGGGTGTCAGTGAGGAGGCCTTGTAAATATATGGGGCCTCTTGTAGTAGATCAGTACTTATCCCTAGCATAGGAATAGACTTTGGGAGCCCATTTAACATAGAGGGATACCCCCTCAGCCTAGACACACAGGGGAGGGCCTAGGCCCTATCACAAAGGATATGACAGACTCTGAAGACTCCACCCCCCACCCCATGGAAGGCCTCACTCTCCCTGGGGAGCAGAAATGGTATTGGATAGGTAGAATGTTAGTGGGGGGCAGGGGAGGAGGGGAGGGAGAGGGAATGGGGATTGACATGTAAAATAATCTTGTTTCTAATTCAAATTTAAAAATTAAAAAAAAAAAAACATCACCCAGAGAATATTATGTTACCATTTGGGGGATACATCCCAGATATTTTTCTCCATGCTAGTACATGTAGATATTTATTAATACAGTTGTTTCTATTGATACCTGTACAGTGTATATTGTCCTCTATGGCTGCTTTTCTTAATTTATGACTTGGAAAGGCTTTCTAAAATGTTAATGAGTACAGATCATTTCAATCTTACATAGATGATAGGACATAAATAGATCCATGCGTCAATTAGCTAGACTCTTAAGTGTTGGGTTAATGACAGATCCTGACTAGTTCATTATTACAATGATGTACCCTGAATTACAGCAACCTTAAGAGAAAACTAAATTAACCAATATAAACCACTTCATAAGGTGCTTGGTGTATAATAAGCTCTCTATAGGCTAGTGATTTCTAAAAACGGACACTGTGTCTAAGTAAAGACATACTAATTCCCAACATTAGATTTAAAAAGGGCTTTTGTAGCTAGCTTGTTTGTTTGATAAGGTCTTGCTTTAAAGCTCAAGCTAGCCTTGAACTCTGAAGTACTGAGATAGAGCCAGGCAAAACAGATTCTTTAGTTTTCTTATTAGATTCCTCATACTCTTAAAATTGTCAATGACTTCTGCAGGAAGGTTATCAACCCTATGTCACAAAATAGCAAGTACTTTTTGTTCTTAAAGGGGGGGTATAAACCTGAGATTTACCTCCAGTTCCTAGGACCTTCAGCAGCTCAAAATTTTCAATTCCCACCTTCTCTGCATGTCCTGTTAAGTTGGCTAAAAAGAAAGGAAAAAGAAAGAAAAAATTAAAGGGATTGGCAACAGGAGAGCTCTGTGGGGGCTCTTGGAAGTATCAGCAAAGTTTTATTTCTTAACCTGGGGTATTGCTATATAATTACTTGTATAGTTATATTTTATATAATATAGTTATATTAATTATAATATATTATATTTACATAACATAGTTATATTAATTATAATAAAACTTTTCTTAAAAATTTAGTGACTAGATACTATTTGTACCATAGATTAAAACAACATAAAGTCTAATAATAAACAAAAGTTATAATACACAGGTAGATTTGTAATGGAAAATAGATAGGTTTACAAATATTTATTTATGAAACAAATATAACAAACCTAACTATCATCCTAGATTCTGGGCTATGTTCTAGTTCCATCTGTGCCACTAAGAATGTAGCATGAGTTAGTGTACACTAGCTGTGTGCAGACACTGCCTCAGCTCCCCCATCTGAAGTGAGAGCACTGGGTTAGAAAACTAAGATCCCTGTCAGCTCTAAAATTCTAGGGGTGTGTTTAAATATACACACTCTTCATAACATATTCTGTCCTAAATAAGCAAAAGAACAGTATGTTGTATGTGAACATTTTCCACAGTATTCTCCATTGGGTTCTGGTCCTACCCGATTACATGTGGAAAGGTTGTTGGGAGAAAAGTGAGCAACAGGGTACTCTGGTGGAAAGACATTGAAAATGGTTGGCTTTAGCCAAGTTAAATGGCTTCTTTATCCCAGGACCTCACAGATTCTGTACTATAAATCTTCAAGGCTGAGATACTGCAGTCTTAAAATTTATTTAACAAACTGTCTGAATAATAATGCCTATGAATATTAGGTGAACTGGCTTTCTGCAGACGTCATCAAAATTGCCTGATCCAACTCCTACTTCTACCACTTAAATGCTGTGTACCCTTGAACAAATTGCATCTGTGTGTGTCAGTTCCCACTGGTGTAAGATACATATAATTAACAACTCTACCCCTACAATATACTGGTGTCTACAATCTACTTTGGAAGCATTAGAAAAGATGGAATGATAGTTGAATATAAATAGCTATGTCATAAACCAAATATAACAAATACAGTTTAGATGGTATGAGTGTTCAACATACAAATCTTTCAAGATGTCTGTAAAATAACAGAAAATAGAATTAGACCTACCTCATGAAGTTGTAATGAAGATTGAAAGAGTCAAATTTTATACAGTAATTTTATACAGTACTCAGTGTGTGCAAGTGTTTACAAATAAAACTTTTGAGACAGTAACTTTAAGAAAACTAAGCTCAATAAGAATTTTGAAAGCTAGAAGTTTGATGCAGTAAATAATTTTAGTATTTTGTCCAAGTTTAACTAAATTCACATTTTAAATTAAGTTTTTAATTATTTTAGTTTTAAAAAATTTAAGGTACCAGTAAGTCTTAAGGAGGTCAATGGGTCCAACTAGCTCATCATGACTAAGGTCTTTGTTTGGGGTACATGATAATTTGAATTAAAATGGCCCCCATAGAGTCACATACTTGTATTGACGCACACTTGTATTGCCCCCCCAACACACACACACACACAATGAACTGCTTGGAAAGGCTTAGGAGGCGTGAGTTTGCTGGAGGAATTTGCAGTTAGGGGGTGGGCTCTGAGGTTTCAAAAGTCCACACCAGACCTAGTCAGTCTCTCTCTCTCTCTCTCTCTCTCTCTCTCTCTCTCTCTCCTTGCTACCTGTGGATCCGGATATAAAGCTCTCTCATCTACTGCTCCAACAATCATACCTACTTGCTTCCTGCCATGATGATAATGGACTAATCCTCTCAAACTATAAGTCCCTATTTAAATGCTTTCTTTTATGAGTTGCCTTGGTCATGGTGTCTCTTCACAACAACAGAACATTGACTAAGACAGAGAACAAGATTTAAAACAAACAATATTGTATAACATAGATTCTGAAGCAAACACATACTCAAATGTGAGTCTAAATGTTTCTCACGAATGTGCTATTGTTTTGTCAGTACAATTTAGAGCCTTTGAACATAAACATTTAAAAATAAACTGTTATTTTTTTTCTTAATTAAATTGTTAGCCTCAAGAAGAGCTCAAACTTTCAAATAAAAATACTAACATTATTGGAAAAAGACTTAAAATATTCACAGACTTTATTTCACCTTAAAGGTGAAATAAACATTACCAACTTTGTAACTGTCTTCTACATTTGTGAGACAGTCACAAGACTTAGTAAAGTCCAAATCATGTTGCTCAGAAGATACAAGCTTCATGCCTGGGACCAAGGTACCAGAGCCAATACTGCTGGAGCAGTTAGAACTGCCCACTGTTTTTTCGCCCCACAAAGCAGCTGGTACTTTACTGTGGTTGTGAGAGGCAGCAGCCTTTGTTCCTTCTCCAATTCCAACTATGCCTCCACTAGACTCCCTTTCTAGTTCTCTCCACAGATAAGAGGACTTAGAAACCCATGCATGAATCCAAAATTCTGAAAGAAAACTCAAAATTACAGTTTTTTTCAATACATGAATGGGGAGGGGGCACATCAGTAGGAGCAGGTAGAGTTCCTGTGTTCAAAAGATCAGCTCCTACACAAGTCTTTTCTTTAAAAAAATATATTTATTAGTTATTTATTGTTGTGGGGGGGTGTGGGTGTGGGTGTCGTGCATGTGACAATCAGAGCACATCTCTGGTAGTCAGGTCTCTCCTATCCTATCCTGTGGGTCCCCATGTAAACTCAGGTGTCAGTCTTTGCAGAAAGCATCTTCAATTCTTCAATTCTCGATCTATCTTGCCTGCCCCTTTGAGTTTTTGACTCAAATTTCCAGATGGTCTGGCTTCTTAGGGAAGACAGACTACTCTTGTGCTCTTCTCTTTTAGTGTATATAGCAGTTGACAAAGTAGATATAGTTGTCGTGATACTGTGTTTTAACCATTTTTGTTTGCTTGTCTGACAAGTGAGAGTAACAGGAGGAATACATTCACAATACACTATGTACAGGTATAAAATGATCAAAAATTAAATAAAAAGTAATTTCTACAAAGAGAAAGAAAAGAAAAAGCTTCCTTTCTTTCTCTGCTTTCTGCCATACAAGAGTGCTCATTAAGGACTGAAGCTGACCATGTCTGATCCTGGGCATTTCAACCTCCAAAACGGAGCCATGACTGTCCAGTGAGTTTTGTTTGTTTGAGTATTCACTCCATAGCTCAGGCTGGCCTGAAACTATGTAAGCCAGGCTAGTTTCAAATTGCAGCAATTCTGCTTGGGTCTCTTAGTTGCTGTGAGTGTTAAGTGTGAACCACCATTCTCAACTTGTATGTTAGTTTCACCACTCAGTTAATGCTATTTTAATTATGGCAGTCTGAATGAGACAACTGGAATCCACTAACTAATTTGCTCTCTCTTCTAACATTCTAAGTCACATGCCTAAACATGCTATTCCCGAGATTGTGATTAGATGGAGCTGGTCGAGAAGGAGAAAGCCTCACCTGGGCCGTAAGCCTAAACTTCCTACAGAGATTATATAACAGTTCTGTACTGACATGCTGGAAGTACACACCGCTATTGCTAAGGTAGCACTCCGATTCCCAGGAGCTACTGTTGTTCTGCGCAGACAGGTCCTTTGTGGCTCCTGAGGGTTAAAAGAGTAGACTGGAAGATCAGAGTTTGGGCATTTCTGGTTCTAACAGCAAAATGACACCAAACCACAGCATGAGCCTAAACCCTAAGAGTGTTAACCCCTTCCCCCACAAACAACACCTTATGAGAACTCTTCACGAATTAAAACAAAACAGCAGTCTGAGCTTATCAGATGTCCACAACTGACATCTATTCTGGTGCCCACATGAGGCGAGCAGTTAAATACCAGTAACACGAGATTAAAATAATATTTCAGATCTTTCTAAGGTCTCCTACAAGCCTGCCTCTATTGCTAATTAGCTGAATCAAAGGCAGAAGGATCTCTGGGAGTTCAAATCCAGCCTGGTCCACAAAAATGAATTCCAGTCCAGCTGGGGCTACTCAATAAGACCCTGCCTAAAAATAAATAATAAATAGAATTTGACTGAAACTTCCTATAATATATTCTGATCACAGTTTCCCCTCCTCTATCTCTCCCCAGATCTCACCTCATCAATGTGTGGCTTGAACCTGTGTTGGCCTATTGCCTGCTGACACAGTCTCTGCCAGTTCCTATGCATGTCAGTTCTACTGGCTCTGTTTCCTTGGTGTCTTCCATTTCCTCTGGCTTTTACGACCTTTCTGTCTCCTCTTCCACACAGCTCTCTGCATTTATAGATTCTTTCTGCAGCAATATATTACTGAGTTTAATCAAAATGATTATTTAGGAAAAGAGAGGTGTAAACAATTTTAATACTTTCACAAAAAAGTCTAACCAAATACTTTTCTCATTAAAATATGTTGAAAATCCTTCACTTCTTGATTAGTGTTATCTTCTTTAAATCCATGTTCTTTGGTTTAATAATCACTTTTGAAATGGAGTTTAACTAAAATCTCTTTGTAAGCACATCAAATTATGTTTTTTAAATGTCAAAACTCAAATGAACACTAAAATGATTCACTTTAAAAAGTTTGGTTTATTAACAATTCTTAAAGAAAAAAATTTCACATTACATAACAGACTTTTAGAATTAGTTCCTGAGCCGGGTGTAGTATGTGTCAATAATACCAAGCACTAGGGAAATGAGGCAGGAGGATTACAACTGGCCTGGCCTACTAACTGAAATCCTGTTTCCAATTCTAATACAGGCACATGCAGTTTGGGGACTATGACTGGATTATCTTTTCAATCTTTATTGTGGTAAAATCCATGCAACACAAAATTGACAATCTTAGTCATTTTAAGTATACCAGTCACTGTTATTAAATGCATTATATTGTTGTACAGACATCACCACTGTGTAACTTACATCTTGTGAATCTGAACCTATGATCAATTAGTAGCTACTCCTCAAACCTTCTTGCCCTTGACAACCAATACAGTACTTTCTGTGTCTATGACCCCAGGTGTCTTTATATAAATGGAATCATATCTTACTGCAGCCAGATCATTTCACTAAGCATAAAGTCCCTAAATTTCATCCACGTTAAAGCATGTGTCAAATTTGTCTTCCTTTTAAAAACTAAATAGCACGTCACTGTATGCATGTACTACATTTGCTTATACATTCATCTGTCAATGAACATGTGGGTTGCTTTCACATTTTTAGCTATATACATGGAGACTGCCTTCAATTCTTAAATGGACTAAAATCTAGGGGAAGTGGAAGTGCTACTGGTAATTCTGTTTTTAATTTTTTTGAGGAATCTCTACATTACTTTTCATCAAGGCTATTATGTACCTTTCAAATTCCTACCAACTGCACAACGTCAGTTCCCCATGACTGACCAACACTTGCTATCTCCTTTTTTATAATAGCCATCTTGATAGTTATAAGATCAGAACAGATATAATTTAAAAAATGCTAGTTCTTAAAATTTATCTTCCCATACTTAGATAATATTATAAAATTGTTCAGGGTCACTGTTTAACAAAAGGATAATATTAGGTAGGTCTAAAGTAGTCCTTGAATTTGGAGAGATGGCTCAGCAGTTAAGAACATGCACAGCTCTCAGAGAGGACCAGAGTTTGGTTCCCAACACAGACACTCAGTGGTTGGGAGCTGACAGTCACCTATTAACTCCAGCTCCAGAAGATCTCACACCCTGCTCTGGTCTCCTCAGGTATTGGCACCTACATGGCATACACACACACCCACAAACACCAATACATAAAAATAAATCTAAAAGTTAAAAAATTAAGTAGATCTTTAAAATGTGTCATAACTCTACACCCCCAAAATAACTATCTTTTTTTTTTTTTACCTTTTTTTTTTAAGAATTTTTAATATTCTTAGCCACATATTTCAGCCACAAATTTATGACTGGTAAATACTTTCTTTTTTTATTTTTATTTATTTATTTATTTATTTATTGGTTTTTTGAGACCGGGTTTCTCTGTGGCTTTGGAGGCTGTCCTGGAACTAGCTCTTGTAGACCAGGCTGGTCTCCAACTCACAGAGATCCGCCTGCCTCTGCCTCCCAAGTGCTGGGATTAAAGGCATGCACCACCAACACCCGGCTTAGTAAATACTTTCTTAATCCAACTTTCTAAACAATTCAATTATCAAACACAATTTGTAATACATATCACCTATAATCTGTTTCTTAAGTTGTAAATGCTTCACTCAGAACTTCCCACTCTCATGAAGAAAAAACAATCAGTAAAAACACATTTTTCATTCTGTTACCATAGTTTCTGCTAAGCACATGTAATCAAATGTGCTAAAAATCATTTGGTTATATCCATTTGATTACATTCATTTATGTTGAAGCTAAGAAGCGGCTTAATTTTTTAATGTGCTTTTACAATTCCAATTAAAGTAGAAATAACAATAATGTTTCTGAAGTCATTTCAAATGTTTCATGCTATTATGACTGAGGTACTCAATTTAATAAGTTAATTCTTATTAAATTTGCATGACTATATGAGAAATATAAATTAACAGGCTAATGGTGTCTATGACATGTAGAGTTAATTATTATCACATGGAACTGGTCAGAAAGTTGACATATTTTTCAACACCAACAATATATAGCCCTCACCCACTCATTTTAGGAAAGTTCACAGATTCCTAGTGGATAGGGATGGGTCTGAAGGGATACAGTTCAGTGGGAGATTATTTGTTTAGCATGCACCAAAGCCCTGGATTCAACCCTCTGTACCACAGAAGAGGTTGGGAAGGGTTAAGGAATTATAGGTAACAAAGATGCCAGAATAATGTGCCTAGGTAGAAGTAATTTTCTTCTAATAGATGATTATGAGGGGTGTTTTAATTAGCTGTATTATATGGAAAACTTCTATAATATTAAAAAGGCACATGAGACTAGCTGACTCAATACCTGAAATGTCCAACTAATTGGTTTTAATTAAATGTGTAAGTAACAATAGCTTTTAACATGATTAAAATGATGCTTCAGAAAAAATTACTCTGGCAATAGTGTACTGCAGAGTTGGAAGCAAAGAAAAACTCAATGCTAAAAGAAGGTGAGGTTACTGAAATAAGCTGTAGTCAAGCAAGAGTCTGGCCTGAATACCAAACTAGAAAGAGGAAAGACTGAATCTAAAAATCACTGTAGTGTTCAGTTCCAACACAACACCACTGAATACCTGCCTTGTGCTGTGACTACAAAAAGCAAACATCTGATCACCACTTCCAAAGATTCACTGAAATCCTGTGGTGGGGTTGTAAATAGGTAAGGCCACAATGGAAATAAGTGTGCAGAGGTCTCAAAAAAACCAAAAGAGCCTCTAATATAACCCAGCTATACCACTCCTGGGCATACACCTTGATATCCTTCTACAGAGATACTTGCTCAGCCATTTTTCTCTACTGCCTTCTGCTATGGGCTGAATATATGTGGCCCTTTGAAAAATTAATGCAAAAATCTAATCCCAAATGCAATGACATTAAGTGACCGGGCTCTCAAGAAGTGATTAGGGCTCTACCCTTATAAGTGAGATAATTACCCTCATACAAGAGCTTGAAAGAACCTATATGAGGACATAGCAGGAGGGGCTACCTATAATGTAGATCTCTTACTACAAACCTATTCTGCCAGTGCTTTGATCTTGGACTTTTTGAACTGTGAGAAACAAATTTATATTGTTTACAAATGCCCAATCAAGCTATTTGTTACAGCCCAAACAGACTAACATGGTCCCACAGCTCAGTACAAGAAAAATAAGTCTGGTATTCGAATGGCAGTGTTACTGGCAGAACAAGAAATAAAAAAGGAAGTTCTGGAGTTTCAATACTGATTCTAAAACGATGACAGAACATCTCAAAGGGCTGCTGTGTTTGCTCTAGACGAGGAACTAAAGTTCTATGCAAACGTCTGAACAAAGTTGTAAAGACAGGGCTATGGCTAAAACTTAAATAAGAAAAACCTTGAAGAGTCCTTCCCCACCCACCCACACAAACAACATGATCATTACCTGGACAAAAACAAAACAAACAAAAACTAGTTACAAAATTAGCTGCCACTTGGACCTAAGCAAATATAGAGAACATCAATAAAAGTACTGAGGGAGTCAAAGGCAGCAGGATGGTACAAATGAGTGAAGACGGAGACATCCTAACTCAGGGTAATTTTTTTTTCCTTCCTTTCTTCCTTCCTTCCTTCCTTCCTTCCTTCCTTCCTTCCTTCCTTCCTTCCTTTCTTCCTTCCTTTCTTTTTTAGGATTCTTAATAGAAGGATGGTTGAGCATTCCCTAGGCAGGGGTCTTGAACTGTTTACAAATGGAGAAATCTAAGTGAAACAGAAGAAAGCCAGTGAGTTGTGCATGCATTCACTTCCCTCTGCTCTAGAGATTGTGGTAGGATTAGCTGTTTGAAGTTCCTAACTTGACTTCCCCACACTCATAGATGGTAACTCTGAACAGAAATAAACTCCTTTCTCCCTTATGTGGCTTTCTGTCAACACAATGAAAATGAAACTAGAATACAGTAAGAACAAATGTGGCCTCTTCCATGACACAAGCAGTTCCATGTTGTCAAACTGCCACTAGATAGTTCCTTATCACTCTGAGCAGTGTTGCTATATTAGGTTTCAGTGTTAGTCTGTGCTGTAAGCAGATTGCGTACTTGGCATCAGCTGTAGCCAGATTGGCCTCCATGAGTAAAACTCCGTGTTACTGAGTCTGTGTATGATCCCCATCCATTTTGTTCATTAGTCCCTTGAACCATTACAGAGAGACAAGACAGAGAACCAACTAGTGTCTACAGAACATATTATTGTATTCCTATTATTATATCCTTTACTGTTGAGATGAAATTTTTGATGGGCACTGATACATGACACACTTTCAGAGTTCTAACCACAAACCTCTTCACTGGGCTTCCTAGCCTCCACTTTCTAATGATGTTCCATTTAGCCCAACTAACTACCCAAACAAATGGCTATATAGTCCACAAGTTAGTATAAAATCACCCATCTCATCATTACTCGTTCCAAGCAAATAAACATCCATCTACATTGCTCAAGAGTCCCCCACTTCTAAGAGTTCCCTTCACTACTGCTCCCCAGGGATGTCTTGGTGTAGTGCCTGTGTATCATGCAGAAACATTATAACCCATGACTAAGTTTTCTATTCCTCTGCCAACTAACCATAAAGGACTCTCCGTAAGACCACAGGCACAGGCAGGGAGCAGGCAACAGTGCAGTAGTAATGAGAACTTGGAGTTCACGGCCAACATTAGCTGTAAGGACAGTCTGGACTATTTGAGACATTGTCTCAAAACACCAACAAGCAAATAAATAAAGGTAAATAAATACATGATTCTTTTAT